TAGCCAACGACTCTCTAGTAAAGTCCATCTCCAACAATTAAAATATTTTGGGCATGTTATGAGAGCAAACACAGAAAACATGAAAAGAATCATACTACAAGGAAAGGTAGAAGGCCGAAGATCACGAGGAAGATCCCCAACAAGACGGATAGATCAAATTACAGGAATATGCCAAAGACCTATGCATGAATTAAAAGAAATGACCAGAGACAGAGATCTCTGGAGACGGACAATACACGACATCACGTCGACCACTACACTCCCCCTGGGGGGTCAAGATTGAAGAGAGAGAACTAGGAATAAGCCACAATTAAAAGTTAACGTTTCAATTTCCACTTCGGAAATCCTTCTCAAAATACAAACAGTAAATTTACTGGAAGACCACCTCAAAACCATGAATATAAGACAATGAAGGAGAAGGGCACAAGAGAGATCTGATTGGAAGGACATAGCCAGACAGCGTAAGACCCATCCAGGGTTATGATGCCAAAAGAACAAGAATAAGTGTGGCTTATTCCCAGTAAAATAGTATCTAATATTTTAATACTTTATTGAGATGGTTGAATTTTTAAAACGTAGTAAAATGAATTATACTATGCGCCAGAAATGCAGGGCTAAGTTATAAAAAAGCAAACAAAAAAGTATAATTTATATACTTCAAAATTTAAATTAACCTCACGCGTACTGATAAACAGATCTAATGACAATATTAGACAACATGCAATTACCACTATTTAATTGAAACTAAACCTATCTAGACGAATCATGTCAGTGCATTTTGGTGCATTCATGGTCTATTTTATTTTGCAATGTTTAGAAAACACAGATTTGGGCCGAATCCTGAATGTTACCACTGAATCCTGAATCCGATTTATAGTCCTGTTAGTAGACTTCGCCGTAGAATCTGTCAGTAAATATTTTAAATATTTACTTTTATGGATGTAAAAGGTTTTAATTTGTTAAAGCTTACAATGAGTGCGATCTGAGAATACCAAGAGGCAAAAAATATACATATCAGCGAATGATGGTAGGTTGTAACCATATCAAACCTATTTTATTTTTATTTTTTTTTATTATTTAGAAAACACCTATACGGTGCTTTGTTTATTTACAACTAGTCACAAAATATTGGACTAACCGGCAAATTTCCTCTACTTACAATGTTTATCCAGAATTTGCAAAATCTACGCTTGCATAGTTATGAAGTCTCTTATCATACTTTTTTACAAATACTTATAACATCTGCAACCATTTCCATACCTAGATCTTTATGTAGGTCGCTACTTCTTATATACCAGGGAGCATTTAGAATGTCCCTTAAAACTGTACTTGTTTATATACCATCAGCTATTATCTATTGAGCGCTTCATTTTTTTTCCAAGGAGCCGGTATAATTTTTTGTATTTGATAGTCAATTCAATTTTTTTCTATTTGATCTGTTCTTTTCAATTTATGCATAATCTCTATATTCATGCCCAGATATTTTGCCCAACATAATTTTTTTTCCTCTAGAACTTTTTCTAGTCTAATGGTGCGTGACTATTTCTAAACCCAAATCTTTTTTATTCTATTATAGGTATTTCAATAGGTAAGAGTTTTGCAAACATTTTTGAAATCACTGACAGCAACCATATTAGCTGATAATGTGTATCCCCATTTGATGCTTGCCTAGCTTTTACTCTCATAGTTATTCCCGCTACTTTTCAGCATCTTGGGAAGTATTTAAGTCTAATCGACTCAGTGAATAGATTTTATAGCGTAACTATTGCTTTTTTGAGCTAATTTTCTAAGATTTCTCCTGTGAGGTCATATCACGTGCCATTTTTGGATTGATGTTCGTTAGTATTTTAGTTTTAATGTTTTTTAGGTGTAACTAATTACATTGTTCCATTCCATTTTGTAACTTCCAAAAACTAAGGAAACAAAGAAGTGTGGTGATTTCAGACTTATTAGTTTAATGTCGCATATGTTAAAGTTATTCTTGAAAGTAATTCACCAACGCATTTATAAGAAATGTGAACAGGATATCAGTGATAAACAATTTGGCTTCTGAAATGGATTTGGGACACGGGAAGCATTAACCAGTTTTATTATACTGCTGCAAAAATGTCGATACCAAAAAAAGGATCTCTTTTTATGTTTTATTGACTATCAAAAGGCCTTCGACAAAGTAAAACATGATAAGCTGATGGATTGCCTTCACACAAAGGGACTAGACGAGAACGATTTTAAAATTATCCAAACGCTGTATTTTAACCAAACTGCAGCAGTTAGAACAGAAGCCGGTGACACAGAAATATTCAATATCAAGCGAGGTGTACGACAGGGGTGTGTATTATCACCACTACTTTTCAATATATATTCGGAAGAAATCTTTGCACGAGCACTAGAGCAATCAAGAGAAGGTGTTAAAATTAACGGCAGAGTTCTAAATAATGTACGATACTCCGACGACACGGTCGCACAGGATCTCCAGACACTCTTAAATCGCGTCAGATCGATCGGAGAACAATACGGCCTCAGCATTAACGTCAAGAAAACAAAAACAATGATTGTCTCCAAAACATCCATCCATCCACCCATGGCTTTAAACGTGAATGGTAACATTATCGAAAATGTCGAGAAATTTCGATATCTAGGGTGCTGGATAACGAAAGATATAGATCCAGACATAGAAATAAAATCGCGAATTGAACAAGCAAGAAATGTCTTTTTAAAAATGAAACAAATGTTTACGTCCCAAACACTCAATCTCAAAATCCGATAGCGAATGCTGAAATGTTACATTTACAGCACCTTACTATATGAAATGGAGGCCTGGACTTTCAAAATCTACTCACTCAGGCGTTTGGAAAGTTTTGAAATGTGGTTATTTCGAAGGATGCTGAAAGTCCCCTGGACAGCGCATATGAGCAACGAGCAGGTCCTACACAAGATGGGTACCGACAGAGAACTCTTAAAAATAATGAAAACACGGAAAACCTCATATTTGGGACACATATACAGAAATGAGAAATACCAGCTGCTGCAGCTTCTTATAGAGGGGAAGGTAGAAGCAAAACGTGGTCCTGGTAGACGGCAGGCGTCTTGGTTGAAGAACATTCGTGAGTGGACTGGTTTGGATTCTCAATCTTTAATAAGAAAAGCCAGGGACAGAAATGATTTTGCTGAGGTTATCGCCAACCTTCATTGAAGACGGCACCCAAAGAAGAAGAATTACATTGTCTCTCTAATATTTTCATCCATTGTTGAAAAGTTATGAATCTCAGACTGCATATCATGGGGTTTAAATGTATTTTTCAAATTGTCAGTAAATTAATATACTTGCTTTTTCTTGGTTTCTTTTAGCAGGTGCACCATCAGATTTTCTAATGAGTTGTCTTATTTTGTCTTATTGTCCTTACAAGTCCTTTTTTTCTGTAGAATAAGTAATTACTATATTTTGCATAGGTATGCTCCATTAGGAATTCGTTTATTGATTTTTGTTTAATTTTTTAAATTTCTCTGCTTATATTTTGGGTGATTTAATTAAACATGGTTTTCTTCACAGTTGTTCTGCGTAGCTGCCATGTTCTTCCAAAACGCCCATTTTTGGCAACCATAATTCTTATCTCAGTTGGATAATTATAACTTTCCGTCCTTATTTTAATAAAAAATAAAAGTTATAATAAAATGAAATAAAAGAGGCATACACAAAGAATGGTCAACCCATAGTGTACACTAGAAATTACTTTTAGCGTCTTATCTTTTAAAGATAATTGGCTACAATATTATTAATTTCCAGATAATCTAATAATCAGAGCAATTTTCTAGTAAAGAGTATGCTTAATTCTGCAGCCTAACAATTTTATTTTTTTCTTTAATTTATTTGGTCTTCTTAAGGTGCCTTCTCCATTATGAATGTTGGCTATAACTACAGCAAATTGCTCTTTATCTTGTATCTATCGTGTCCATACCTGTCCAGTCTCTTACATTTCTTCAACCAGGAAGCATTTTCTTCTTCCTGGACCTCTTTTCTTCCTTCCAGTTTTCCTTCCATTATAAGTAAGTAACTGGTGTATATATATATATATATATATATATATATATATATATAATATATATATATATAACAAAGTGTAAAAGTTATTGAAGTAGATAATGTAATTTTTAAAGTCAGGGATAGTCTGAGACAAACTTTGATGCTGCACTAAGATCAGAAATTCTTGGTACGATACCGTTATCATTAGCTCCTTTGTAAATTTCAAATCTTTAGGAGAATCTGTACGAATCGCATACGACAAATAAGTTGATTCCCTATTTATGGGGTTTATTAGACATGTATTGGCATAAATGGTGTTGCATTTTTGTTTTCTTTCTGTGATAATGGTAAATAAGTGTAATTGTGTTGCAATAACCGCAGTGGTTTTAACAGGACATTTTCGCAATGAAATTTCTGCAGTTGTTCCAGCAGAGTACGATTTTAATGGCATGGCTGCATCAGTCATAATAAGATTTTGACGTAATAGCTTCTTTATCAATACTGCTAAAATTTAGTGGTAAATTAGTGTTTATAAAGTCATACCTGGAATTTGCAGCATCCATTTACTTCTGACAATGAGATACAGAGGACTGACTAATCTCGTCATATCTGGGTTGTAACGAGTCTTCAGGACAAAAATCTGGATTTCTGGTACTATAATCAATATCAAAATTACCATCAGTGTCAAATAAATAATCATTTTCTACTGAATCTTATATTTAAAGTACTTCTTCATCAGTCATTTGAGTAAAATCATATGTTTTACGAATACTTTCTTTTATAAACTGGCAATCCATATTTACGGTAAAATAAGTCGGGTAATATTCATCTGCAAAAACAAAATGAAAAATAATTTTCTTATAAAAAAAACGTAAAAACTCGAATTAAACCGTTATGATCCTTAAAATTACAATAGCAATTTAGCCTGTTTTTATGTACATGTTAATGTAATTTATACTAAATAAACCTTTTTTTATAGAAACTGCAGGCGGCGTTTCAACCAAACCAAAAAGAAGGCCATATTTGCTCAAAAGGAAAGCTTTAACAACGGGCATTTTTGATGCCAGTCGAAAAGAGGCCGAAAAAGATAAGGGTGAGTAGTATTAGTTTTAATCGTCTGCTTTTTTTATTATATTTAATTACTTAAATACAAACGTAGTGTATTATTAGAAATATTAGCAATGTAAGTAAAAGAAGGAAATTAAGTAAAAGCTTTTTGTACCAAATTGAAATTATGGGTCTAAGCTCTTTGGTACTTCAAGCATGACGTACTTGATGGAGAAGTTTTTGTTTCCCGACGCGTCGCGTCCTGTAGGGTAATGAGAAATGGAACGTCGTATGTGTATATAGGATCTTCAGATAGATTTTAATAGGGTTTAAAAAAATACCAAAGTAACAATTAAGTATATATAATACAGGTGTCAACTGTGAGCCTCGGGTGTGCAGTTATGTTGGTAATATATTAGACATAGACAACTTTTAAGACGTTAATAGATGCGCGTTTATACACCTACAAACACAAAATGCAGATACATATACATACATTTTTACCATACCCCTGTGGCTTCCCACCAGGTGTAACACCAACGCACCCAGAACATTTCATACTACAAGGAGAAAGGTGTTGCCTTTGCGATGCCCCAGAGATGCAAACCCTAGGGCATTAAAACCTTGCACAGTATGGGAGCACAGCCGTGCTTGACAGTATTTCATGCCAACTCTTGCGAAAAAAGTAAACATAGGTCTAGCTTAATAAAAAAAATCAGAAATGAGTGACTATTTTTACTCCATAAATAACAATATAAAGGAAATAAACTGAGGAGAGAAAAGGTCGCGAACTCTGTCTTGTTTTCCAAATATATCTCAATAGCACTTATTAGACAAATCTTTAGTAAGTAAGTCAGCTTCGGAATATTTACTGGTGTTCTGAGAGTGTTCGACGTCGCCTTGATATCGACGCTGTGTTGGGTCAAACTGATGATGCATGGGTTGTTGAGGGAGATCTCACATATAATACATTTATCCAAGTCGCGACGGATTGAATAATAGTTAAAAAGGATACGCACATTACCTTTTAGGTCGTAATCATTCTTTTAATGACCATTTTCAAATTTCCAATATCATCATGGCTATTCTGACCTTCGAGTCAGCTGCTCTGAACAATTGCCTTGAGCTGCAACCAAACCACTCTCTCAGGTTCCTCAACCAGCAAACGCGTCTTCTTCCTACGCTTCTCCTACCCTCTATTTGTCCTTGAATTATGAGTCTTAAGATGTTGTATCTTTGAGCTTTCATTACATGTCCGAGATACTGCAATTTCCTTTTTTTTATTATATTTTCCATTTCCCTCTCTCTGCCTATTCTCCTTAACACTTCTGTATTCGTGACTCTATCTACTCATGGAATCCTTAAGAATCTTCTAAATGTCCACATTTCAAAAGCCCTAAGTCGATTTATTGTATTTCGGTTTAATGTCCATGATTCAGCTCCATAGTAAAGTACACTGTGTACATACCATTTAATTAGCCTTATTCTGAGGGCCAATGTCAGATCTTTGCTGCATAAAATATTTTTCATTTTCACGAAGTTCGCACGTACTTTTTAAATTCTGACTCTTATTTCTGAAGTATAGTCGTTATTTTCTATGATTATCATTCCCATGTAAGTATATCTTTTTACTCCCCCAATCTGCTGGCCGCCTACCGTTAATATTTCGTTTGTATTGTTGGTCTTTTAATTTTCATGAATTTGGTATTTTTCATGTTGAGAGAAAGTCCGTATTCTCCACTATATTTTAACATTTTGGTCATTATTCTTTCTTAGTCTTTCAAGTTGTCGGCTGTTATAACTGTATCGTCGGCATACCTCATGTTGTTAATTAAATTTCCGTTCACTTTTATACCGACTGTCTCGTTTACCAATGCTTCTTATATGATTTCTTCAGGATAAGCATTAAACAATAACGGCGACAGTATGCAACCTTGCCTGACCCCTCACCTTATGTCCACTTCTTCTGACACTTCTCTTCCAATTTTCACATTTGATCGTTGGCTGTAGGATAAATTTGATATCAATGTTACATCACTCACATCACATTGTTTTTGAGTACTTCTATAAGTTGGTCATATTTTACCTTATCAAATGCCTTGTTATACTCTATAAAGCATACATAAAGATCTCGATTAACATCCAAACATCTTTGGGTCAGCACGTTAAAAGAAAATAGTGCCTCTCTTGTTCCCACTCCATTCCGAAATCCAAACTGGGAATCACATCTCCAGCTTAGCGTGTACTACAGACCTTAAGCTATCTTTGTTAGAGTCTATGGAAACTAATGATATAAAAAATATAGATATAATCCAGAATGACCTACTTGAGACAAACAGCTCTCCCATCCTCAATTAAAGAAATATACTTTATTGTACTGAAAACTGTACAATTTTACGGACAAAGCTTATAAAAGTTAAAAAAAAAAGTAATAATACCAATAACAATTAAAATGTACTAAAATTACATACATCGTCAATATCACAGAATAAAACAGAACAAAATATACAATATATTGCAAAATTTCACTATATTGCAAATTGCATAATAAAAGCATACGAAAAACCATATTCAGCTAAAGACTATAAAGTGTAGACACATAGTGAAAATAGATCACTTGAAAAAGGTACGTGGTCGAAACAGCTGTAGTAATAATAAATTATTATAATAAATTTGGTGAAAGAGTTGAAAATAAAAGATTTCAGTGTTTTATTATTAGATAATTTATTTACGTACATGTAATATTTATTAATTACTATTAAACTGGGAATAAGCCACAATTAAAGATAAAAATACGTTCTTCTACTGTTCTTCTTCTACTATAGTAAATTTACTGTTTGTATTTTGAGAACGATTTCCGAAGTGCAAATTGAAACGTCAATAAACGTATTTTTATCTTTAATTGTGGCTTATTCCCAGTTTAATAGTAATTAATTTACAATGCCACAAGAAAATAGCTTCAGAACAATATGTAATACTTATGGTAAATATTAAAATATCCTTGGATTTATATCATTTTTAAATCATCTGCACTAGTTTCAGCTTCCATCGATATTCCATCCTCTCCAATATTTAATATTTATTTCTAAACCTACAGAATAACATACTAAATACCTCCAAAATAAATTTGGAACAACTATTTATATGAAAAATGTAAACATCTAATTGAATTTATTTTTAAGTTAAATTATTACGTTTCATTTGATTTGTGTAAGAAATAATCTTGTTTTCGTTTTGACCAAGGCATTGTCACAAAATTCAAATTGACAACACCAACGATTTTGGCGAGGTAACTGAAATTATTGGATGCCGTAGATTTTACCAGCGCGGCGCCACATTTGTCTACAGGGTGACTACGTACATTCTAAAATATTTATTAATTATATAAATAGTTGGTAATAATGAAATAAAACCTGTTTATTATTAACGAAAATAAGATGGTTATAATGTAAAATGTTTTTTGCGTAAGGTATGTAGACTCTATCTTACTACCATCGTCGTATAAATAAGTATGTCTGTCGACATTGTCATTGCATTTATTAGCATGTAAACTAGTTTTACTTGAAAAAATTGGTATCGACCACGATCTCTTCACGCATAATATGTGCAAGATGGAATATTTTTCTTTTAATCCTGGATCTATAGGTCTGTTCAAGCAATCGTTTGATTTGCGTCCATTTTGGTAGGGCGTTTGTACCACACACTTTGTTGTATTTCTAATATCACAATCTCTTGATTTAGATCTACTATGGGGTTTCGGCTTACGCTTACTTGGTGTCAGAACTCGTATTTTATCGTTTATTTAAGATATTCAAATATACTATGACGGGAAATGAAGATCTGAACGATAAAATACGAGTTCTGACATCAAGTAAGCGTAAGCCAAAACCCCGTAGCAGATCTAAATCAAGAGATTGTGATATTAGAGATACAACAAAAAAATGGTACAAACGCCTTACCAAAATGGACGCAATTCAAACGATTGTTTGAACAGACCTATAGATCCACGATTAAAAGAAAAATATTCCATTTTGCACATACCATGCGTGAAGAGATCGTGGTCGATTCCAATTTTTTCAAGTAAAACTAGTTTACATGGTAGTAAAATGTTTTGTTTTAATATTTCAAAAGCAGAAATGCAACAAAAATACGAGGTTGGGAGCTAATTTAAGATCAATAATTTTAAAGATATGAATGCGTGTGTAGATAATATTAAAACAAAAAAACAAACACCTAAGAAAGTATTATAGTAAGTAAAACTAAGTAAGGCTTAATAAATGGGGAGATAAATTTTAAAATTTGTTTACTTTCGTTTATTAAAAATGTTTTTTTAGAAATAAAATAAAGTTACTGCCACATCTCACATCTCCATCTTTTTCTATCTTCCAATCGTTTTCTGCCCAAATTTTTCCCGTTTCCCGTTTCCCCGCACTTCTTTCTTCTTCAAGTGCCCTTTTGTGCTTCAAGTGCCCTTTTTGCGCTTTTTCAAGTGCCAACAGATTTTTACAATTATCACTGCTATTCGTATCTTTGAAGCTGTTGCTCTAAATAATTGGTTAGATGTGCACTGGAACCAGTTTCTTAAATTGCTCAGCCAAGATATACGTCGTTTCCCCACGCTTCGTTTGCCCTGCATCTTTCCTTGGACAATTAACTCCAGCAATCGGTACTTTTTCCCTCTCATCACATGACTAAGATATTCCAACTTTTTGCTCTTCATGGTGATCAACAGCTCCCGTTCTTTGGTCATTCTTCGAAGAACTACACTATTTGTTATTTTGTCTGTTTAAGTTATTTTCAAAATTCTTCTATATATCCACATTTCGAAGGCCTCTAGTTTATCGGTATTGCTCATGTTTAAAGTCCAAGTCTCTACTTCGTACATCAGTATCGAAAATATGTAGCATCTAACCAATCTTATTTTCAGATTTAAGTTAATGCCATAACTTCCCTTCAGAATGTCCTTCATATTAACAAAAGGAGCTCGAGCCTTTTCAATTCTAGTTTTTATTTTTTCTTTGATGTTATTGTTGTTATTAACACTTG